AAAAAAATAAATATTTATATTTTTTTTCTTTTTTGGAAAGGGGGCAGTGTAATATTTGAAATATCACAAATAGTTATTTTTGTATCTAGTGCGCGAAATGCTACTTTGGTGATCGAGAACTGATAGTCGAGATCACCAAAGTATTTCGCGCTCGAGTTGCAAACAATATTTTTTCTACAACTTTATTTAAATATCGATCATTCCAAGCTAAAATTGCATTTACAATCAAAGGCAGGTGAATTTTAATTATTTTTGGTTTCCTGTCAGGTATCAGGTATTTGTTACCTGAGTGTGCGAACTAGGCATTTCGCACACTGGAAAATCATTTCCAGGGACGTAGCGAAGGCCTCTGGTTTGGGGTGGGGGGGGGGGGGGGTGACATTCCTAATTTTCCCAACTTTATTAAAACTTTAAAAAAGTCATATGTAGTACACGTGTTAAAAAGTGGAATTTCTTAAAAACTATTCCCTCTCTCATACGACTTTTAGACTAAGCGCATGAGTCGGGGTATATAAATACGAAAGGCTACACAAAAGACAAACGCGCATCTGTAGTGACATCACAAGGATATTGGCGCTTAATAAATAATAATAGGCAATCCCTTCGTTTATAATCTTTGGTTTGTGTCAATCGTTCGTCGGCTGTCATTGTCATTGGCTGTCTTTCTCCGCCTCTCTACATTATATCTTTCTTCACTCTCGTCTCTCGTGTGCCGAAATTTCGCAAAACGTGTCATTACGTGTAACGTGACGCGTCTTTCGAATCACTTTCCATTCTCGTCCAAATCAGACCGCCGCCTAATAAGTTTCACTCAAAAAAATCATGTGTAGTATCGTATACGTGTTAAAAAGTGAAACTTTTTAAAAAGTTTTAGACTTAGCGTATGAGCCGGGGTGAAAACGAAGGGTCACACAAAAAACCCAAAAGGGAGTCGCGCATCTTTAGTGACGTCACAAGGGTATCGGCGCTTAACAATAATAGGCTCTCTGCTTATAGTCCTTGGTTTGTGTGAATCGTTTCTCGTCTGTCATTGTCATTGGCTCGTTTTCTCCGTCTCTCTACAGCCTACATTATATTATCTTCCTTCTATCTCATCTCTCATGTAACGAAATTTGTCAAAAAGTGACGTTACGTGATGCGTCTTCCAAATCACTCCCCATATTCTCGTCTAAATATCAGACCGCCGCCTAAGAAATTTCACTTCAAAAACTGATAAAAAGTTTGACATGTATACATCGTGATTCACGTAGCCGGCCTCAGACAGCCGGCAGGCCTATTTTCTATGAACACCAATAACATAGCAACCAGCAACCGGTCGCAAGTTGTTTTTTTAGAATAGAAAATTCGCGTTTGACAGCGACAATTTCGCAATTATCTGCGGGCGCAATTTACAGAATAAGCTGGCCGTGCATTAGAAGTTGTCCAGTTTGCAGGTGGATTAGTAAAAATAGCATCTATACCACCTGCAAAGTAATGTAAGGGGCTACGTAAATCACCCTGTATATTCCAAACCTACAATTAATATAGGTGATGAAATAAAATTAACACTGTATAAAAAACGTGTATGAGAAAAACGTTTCGAGAAACCAAAAACTATTTCTTCAACTCAAGAGCAAGGAATTCAGACTAATTCAGAGTTTTGCTGAAATCTGAATACCGAGCAAAGAATGCGCAGAACGCAAAAGGCAACATAATATAAAAAGTTTGGATTATCTAATATACTATATTGTCCATCACTCTCAAACACAACGCGCTTGCAACAACAAACTATAGATATAACTGCGTCGGTCGTCGGTCTTGAATAGAGAATAGTGCTAGTGGTGCTAGTGCCACTACTGCCACGAGTGCCACGTGCCACTCCAAAGGCTAGTGGTGCTAGTGCAGTGCAAAGTGCAACGCAAGAGATTGCCGCGACCATTGGGATTTCGTCATCCGATGTCCGATGATTTTGCAATTCATTACGACTCGTGACACGATCCTAATGTTAATTTTAATTAGTCCTCGAAAATGAGGTGCGCAAATTTTTGTCTACCAATTTTTCCCAACTTTAAATTTTTTATCCAAATTTTCCCAACTTTCGATATATTTCAGGAACTTTGGGGGGGGCGTTGCCACCCCCAACCCCCCTTATGGCTCCGTCCCTGATCATTTCGCATACGGCGTCATGGGAACGTTAAAAAAAATCTACCTGAAAAAAAAAGTGTCACTTCGCAAATTGTCATCAGTGTGCAAACATCATCATTTTTTGACAGTTGTAGAAAATAGTTATTTTTGTATCAAGGGCGCGAAATGCTACTTTGGTAATCGAGATCTGATTTTTTTCAACGAGGCGCAGCCGAGTTAAAAAAATAGTCGAGATCACCAAAGTATTTCGCGCCCGAGTTGCAAACAATATTTTTTCTACAACTCCATTCAAATATCAATCATTCGAAGCCAGAATTGCATTTTCAATAATAGGTAGGTGAATTTTAATTATTTTTGATTTCCTGACAGGTATGTGTCACCATGACACCCAGTGTGCGAACTAGCTATTTCGCGCACACGTGCGCGAAATATCTAGTCCGCGCACGGCGTCATGGGAACGTTAAAAAATCAATACCTGGGAAAAAAGTGCCACTTCGCAAACTGTCATGAGTGTGCGAACATCATCATTTTTTGACAGTTGTAGAAAAAATATATTTATTGTTCTTAGCGCAGCGGTATTTCCTTACTATTGGTTCTTTCCTTTTTTGTATAGACTCAGCTGATATGACGTTGGTTTGGAAATCTTATAGGTCGCTTCGATTTCTGGGGCTTTGATTAGAGCCCCGCTGCAACTTGATGGCTTCGTTAAGACCAGTATTCTCTGCACTGTAACATTTGAAATGCCACAAAAATATATTTATTGTTCTTATTATTTTTATATATCTTGGACTCATTTAAAAGTACTATTTCGTACACCTAGCGACATCTATGATCCTTCTGACTAGTTTTCCTAACTTAATATCGTTGAATCGAGAATTCCATTATTTCCGAGAAACCTGTAGCGCTGTCATTTTTATGATTTCGACAAGCTTGACAGACGAAGAAAGGAAAAGACAGAACCAATTTGGGTAATTTTGACTTGCCCTTTTTCTCTTTTGTCTTGGGACCGAGAAGATCGTCTAGATTTTTAGAAAATTAAAAATCTTAATACTTTATCTTTGTTTTTGGCCAACGAGTCCATATTATCGAAAATAATTAGCCAGAAAGGTGCTTGATCGTGTCTACTAGAAAGTTTCCTGGAAAATCAACCGATTGTTGATTTTTGTGAAGATTTTGGAAAGTCAGGTTACTATCGGCCGTTCAGGTACCTTAGGCAGGACGAAAAATCCGCGCCTGCACTTCTTTAAGTGAAAATTGACGAATTTGAGACCATGCTGTCCTGGAAACTCAGAACAAATCCGGGGCCCCTTCACAAGGAAAGTTTGTGTCCTATAGGAAGTTGATCCCCAACCATTACTTGGTTGTCTCCAGCCAGTTTGGTACTTCCAGATCTCAAATTTGTGAAAACTTCCGAGGCTTTACAAGGATTCCATCCAGGCTTCTATAATTATTTACCTATGGGCATCTTAAAAGTACTATCTTAATCACCTTAACTCTTTTTTACCTTTTTTTATCGCCCCCTATCGATTAGCTTTATTAGCTAATTAATATCTTTGTAAATTCAATTATTGTGACCTATTTTTTTTCCTTTTCTTTTTCGTCCCTTATCGTTTAGCTTTATTAGCTAATTAATATCTATGTAAATTCAATTACCGACTTAATTTTTTTAGCGTTTAGTAGTGTGTAGCTAGAATAGCTAACTACTGCTTTAAATACAAATATTAAGTTAATTAATTAATTATTATCAGAGTCAGCTATTGACTTTTATCATCGTTTCCTCTATCATCATTTACGATCCAATAAGTATGCATTATTATAATTATTATAAATTTATTTCCGCAATATCGAGTACCGATAGATATAATATATAGTGGATTCATTAACCTTTAGAGGTTTATTTACCTTTTGATTTCAAATCAATAATGTGGTAGTTTTAAAGGTAAACTAATGTAAAATCTTTAGGTAGTCAAATTTAGGTTTCATGTTTACCTATTTTGAACTTTAAAGGTAAGAAGGTAAGAGATCTTCCCGAAACCGTGAACCCTTGAGTTCACCTAGCAGGTTTTTGATATTTATAACTGCCTAAGGATTATTTATTACCTTTCTGGGGATTATGATAAAGAGAACTCCCAAGTTCTTCTTTCGGTTAGAAACCAAAAAAAGAAATAAAGTTAATACTGTCACTACTGTAATAGATTCCAGAAAGCTGCATTTTCGTAACTTCTTTATGAGTAAGCACACATAATTTTCAAAGAAAAAAAGTAAAGAATTTTTTTTGTATTGTTTCTTTTTTGAAAATGTTTAGGGTTTCACCTGTTTCTCTAATCTGATTTCTCCATTCATTAAACATTGCTGATGTATACCTACCTACAATATATTACATGACCAATTTCAAATTTTTCATTTATCTACAAATATTCACATTTCCACCCGATTATGGAAATCAGGCGCCAGCATAATTGACCTAAATTCGTAAAAATGCACATAGTTATGCTCTCCAGGATTCATAATAAAACCTTTTCTACCCCCAGCAACGAAATTCTAAAGTTAAAGTTCACTTTAGCATAAAATGTTTTCCTAATCAACTGACCTGCCTGTTGTTTACGTTTCTATTAATGGCGCTAAGGGATTAAAGTAAAATCCCATCCATTATATCTATTTTTAGATTATTAGGTATGCCTCGTTTATTCCATAATACGTCGACGGGATTTTCCAATGAAGAGTTTGTTTGCAGTAATGGGAATGATAATCGGACACATTTCATAGCCAAGTGCATAGGACTCACAGGAGAAAAAAAAATATTCTAATTTATGCAATTTTATATGAAATTACAAATCTGATTGAATTATTTTTCAGAGGTATTATTTTTTTTTCAGTTATTCGAGAACCAATGTAGACCCAAGACAAACTAGCTAAGAATGGAAAAAGCCAACCAAAACGATTTTTCCTGGAACACTTCCTACGTTTTCGGAGAGGATAACCAGAGTGGATGGGGCAAAAGATATTTCTTCACTTACTTTTCCGAATTCAACAATCCAGAAAATAGACATTATGTTCTGGAACTATCCGTTCTTATCTTCACATTCATCGTATCGATGTTTGCTAATGTGTCAATTATCATATGCGTTTCAAGGTAAGAACTTATTTATATCTACATTACATAGATAATTAGAATGTTCAGTTTTGAAAACATAATCCAATGCATAATGCGAAATTTCAAAAATTTCAGGTCTTGTTACACTGTAAGGTTCGTACGAGCATTGATATACGCGTGATGTAATAAAACTCAGAGAGAGCTGTGCATAAGCTTTTTGATCAACATTATTCATTTATGTTGAAAGGAACAAAAAACAAAAAAGCATCCTTTCAACCTTAGGGAAATTTGAACAAAATTTTGACTTTCTATTGTTGAAGCCTCCATGATCATTCCAAGTAGACGATTTAACATTGAAATATCGAGCCTCTCATGGGTATTTTCGCGCTCCAAAAGGTAATCGGAAATTTCATGGTAACACTCAGAACCTAACTTTAATATTGGGACATAGAGGGTTATGGTGAATCGGTTGGAAGTAAGGTATGATTTAAGTTGAAAAGTGACCATTACTGACTCAGAGGTCATTACTACTCCAATAGAACGTCTGACCATAGCAGGTAAAAATGCCAGGCAGTGCACCGCACCGATCGTGCATAGTGGCGTCGGCTTTCCAGCATCAATGTAGATTCATGACACTGACCATTCGTTCTCCAGCCTTCAACCAAGAATCACTTACTGCTTTTCTACGCCCTTACCTCCTCTCAGATCCTCACTACCAGCACTACTATGCTCTTCAGAGTCCTAAGAACTATTTTTTTTTTTAAATAATGCTATCTAGATTAAGTTAGTTCTTCTGCATATTCGTAATTATCTCTATCATCCTAACTGTCCACATGCTGAACATTCCTATTCCTCTCAAATGAATGCCATTAGGATGCCTTCCTCCGGCGCGTAATTTGCCCGAAGTTAATTCGTAAATAGCAGTCGCAGTGACTGGAACGTCACTTGTTTGAGAAATTACCTACCTTTTTATATTGAATCATGTTAATACTCGTGTAAATACAATAATGAAGCTTAAGAAGAAAAATAAGAAAAGATTTGAAGAAGGCGAATACAAAAGTATATTGAATTAAATATGTTGTTAGTAGACTTATTACATCTATTTTTTGCTACACACCTTTCAATCTATATTTTAGTGCCCATAAGTTCTGCATTTGTTTATTTTTATTGATGTGATTTTGAGTTAATATTTTTTAAATAAATTTTCGTGATTCAGATACTTTCATTGATTTTGTTTGAAGCCAAAATATGAAAAAAAACTCGTCCAGTTTTTAGACAACATGCTTCCATAGGAAATTATCTGTAATTTTGATGCACTTACGTAATTACTTCTGATAACTTCCCTAGGGATGTTTTCAATCACTATGACAGCAATGTTTGTTTTATCGGGGATAATACCACGAGTGCCTTAAAATTACCAATAATTGTTCACGACTGCGTGTTTTTTATAATTTTGCAATGCAAAGAAAACACGCATGAGTCATAATTTTTTTGGTTAATGAGTACCTACCTATCAATTTTGAGAAATGCAAACCAGTTTGTTCCAAAAATTAGCACGACAACCATGAATATGGCAGCAAAATAATATGACTTTCAATACCACTAGTGCCCAAATTATTCCCGGAAATTTTCACAAACTAACGAATATTTTGAAAATTATCCTAAGTTGAAGACGAGGGAAAATTTTCATTGAATATTCGTGAGTTAGGGAAAATTTTCGGATAATTAATTTAGACACGTGTGATATTCGGTAGGAAAAGTCTAATGGTCTTACACTTGACAGGTAGGTAACAATCAAAAATAAGCCCTATATTTAGACGTCCTCAAGGTTGCCAACTTCACCACATACCGATGGGATGCCTGTGAGGTTCTTGTGGTTCGAGAGATTGCACTGAATCGGTGAAAGTTGGATTATCGATCATTTTTATTGCTATACATACTCTGATTCAAGACTTTTAAAGGAAAAGAAGTTTCTTGCCCTTTTTTGGGATGGGCTGCACTCTGGCACATTTTTAGATAGACGAGAAAACGTCTCGAATGTAAACATTTTGCCAAGAACTTGTTACAAATTAAATGATATTTGTTACTTTAAGACAAGATAACCTAGGGTCATGGAATTCAAAAAATTAAGATAACGTGTAGTCCCTTTATGTGCAAATAAAACCACTCATAATCCAACAACCAATTATTTTATTTGATATTTAACAATGTAATATGTAACATGGAGTAACGGTAAATGTTACTGTAAAATTTTATTGTTGACAGCTTGGTTTTTCCGGTGAATCTGATACCATATACCTTTCCAATCCGGAGCTCTTCACTTTCGTGAACTGGAGCTCTTCGTGTTGTTTCCTGTATTCAGGAAGAGGATAGGTTGCGGGGGGTTACGTCACTCCAGCTGATCCAGACTCCAAACAGTGATCTTTATGTGGAGTAGGTACCCAGAAAAGAATAAGGCAGTATTAGGTTCACCAATATTTGGAATATCAAATCCCTGAATTCTGTCAAAAAATGAGTGTCTTGCAAAGGAAATTGAAATTGAAATTTAATATAAAACGATTGTTGTATAGACACTCCTTTCCAACAGAATCAGATATGAACAGCTATTGCAAGTTGAAAAAAATAATATTTTAATATAAAGAAAATACAATTAAATAATTAAGAATAATGGTAAGCTAATAATAAAATTAAAATAATAACAACAAGATTAAATTAAAATGCTCGTTATGATTGAGCGAAATGCTGCTTCCCTGACAGTAGCTCTGGCAGGCAGAAATATGAACAAAATAAGGTAGGTAAAACAATAAGAAATTAAATCTTTGGATTCTTCCCCAAATAGACAAAATTTTCCTTTCAAATTAAGGAAGCTACTATAGATACTACAAGATAAACCTGGGGTCGAAATTAATCAAATCCAGAATATGTCAAAATTCTTGAGATGTTCTAATTAAAACTTTTTACTGAATTTTTGACCTGTCTGGATTTCTATTAAAAAATTACACCCTTTAGTCGAAATAATAATTGAGGGAGTCAAACAGAAAATGGCTATTCAGGCCTCTGCCTGGATTCAATAAAGAGTTGATAGGGATGGACATACAAATTTGGTTTTTCACCGACTCTATTTAGAGCAAATGGTCCAATATTCCCACAATAACAATTGATTCTGAAAGCCAGAGCAGCAGTTCCTTTTTTAAAATCCAAAAAAAAAACTGAATTGACACCTCAGATAAACGTGGCAATACCAATCGACACTCACACAAAAATGGAAGCCAACAATTAGATGAAAAAAAAATAAAATATAATATTTATATTTCAAGAACAGATAAGATAAGATTTATCAGGTAAAAACTTAATAATGATATGATAATATGCATTGATAGCAAAATATATTGAAAAATTTATAAGGGAGAATCCAAAAATTAAGAACAAAAGTTATTCAAAATAAAGAGGACTTGCCTGACAGACTTCTGTCAACGAAAGAGATCGAGTACACCCAAATCATATTCACTTTACAATGAAATCACAATGAAAGACCGCGTGGAATAAAAGAGAATAGATAAAAATCCACCAGAATTATTTTAATTGTTCACAAATTATAATAGTTTAAATTAGATCATTAATGGCCGTTTCCACCAACCAATTTAGGGAAGCCCTAACGATAAGTATTTCCTAAAATGATATTTTTACATGGGAAAATGTCAGTTTGAGGAATACTTATCGTTAGGGCTTCCCTAAAATGGTTGGTGGAAACAGGCATAAGCCAAAAAATGATTATTTCAAAATCAGAAGTTAGAAAAAGACAGAAATATATCCATTTGCTAAAAGTGAGATAAATATAATTTCTTTCAATGAAAATACAAATGATTGTCAAATGCGAAATAATTAAAATCATACCTTGAAAAATAAATCCATCAGGTACTAGATGGCAGTACTAGTACATGAATAGAAGATATTTGCATTTTACGCAGATGATGGATAGATGGCAGCACTTATATTATTTTGAACTTTGTGGATATTTTAGATTATTTTGCTGATTCTGAAATGGAAAAAATACGACTTTATCATGAAAATAAGAAGAGATGGAACATGTTACGTAAATGATAAATTTATCGTAACAAACTTAAGCCAATTTTTGTAAACAAGAGGACAATTGGTGGAATGCCGTCGAAACCACAAGATTTCCCAATGTCAAGTTGCAGAAGAATTTTCCTTATTGTTTGGAAAAGATATCTGCCTTTCCCTTTGACGATACTACAATGGAATTATTGTGAATGTTGAAAGGAAGAAGATGTGAAATATTTTCCTATGGTCTTGGCAAAGGACCAAAAAGACCTTGATCCTCGGAGGAATCTTTGGATTTAAAGCAACATTGGACTATGGAAAGGCCGAGAAAAATACTTTTGGGCCTTCCCAGTCTGTACCTGCATAAGGCCACAGCCTACGAGATATTGGAGCAGAGGCTGAGGGTATAATAAACGATTTTCGAGCGGAAAGCAATTTGTGGTCTGTCACTGTTTATTCTCTACGTCAAAATAGAGATAAGTATAGAAGTAGAGCTATCACAGCTGTTAAAATAACAAGATACATACATCATGGGTCTGATTTTCAAATGCCGTTTGTCGAGAACAACCATCGTTTTTGGCGTCAGGCTATTACCAAACAACGTGCTTTCGATTGTCATAAAATTATCACGGTATCCTAGGAACAACAGTCCACAACCAAATTAGTCCTGGTGCAATACCAACTGAACCTATTAAATCGATTACCTACCTACTCAACGGAAAACTAAAAATAAAGTAAATTTTCCAACTTAGGCCTATACTTTGTAGTAGACTGGTTAAAATCTGCTCTAGTCCCATTGCCTGATCAGAGAAATATAAAGAAATGTTACTATTATCGATAAAAGAGTTTAATAAACCGTGCACTGAAAATAGTCTTGTCTCTCTCAGGTCTTGCCTAATAGAATTTACAAAAAGACTGAGGCCAAAAAAAAAATATATTATTTAACGATGTTTTCAGTATCTAAAATACGATTATAT